TTAGCTCTGGCACACTTAGTAGTGTTGATAACACCAGCTGGGACCTCATTCGCACTCGAGTATGCCACCCATAGGCATACTCGAGTCTATACTGTAGGCATAGACTCAGGTCTGGATGAGGTTCGGTCAGGCAGTTGTGGATCTGTTCGCATTGAGGGAGAATGCTCATTTCCCACTTTACGTCTCCTGTATCACAAAAAGCCCTTAACCTAACAGTTTTCAAGTTTATACTGACATTTATATGCGCAATCCTCTCCGACAGCTCCCGCTTCACTGTCCGCCATTGTTTTTAAAAGTTTTGCCGTCCGACCCGCAAGGCATCTTGGAAAATGTAAACCATTGAAGGATACACCGGACCCATCCTGCTTGCAGGCAAAAAGGAGGCCGGATTCGTCGACCGCATTTGAAGGAGTCTTCGAATTGGGACAGGCCTAGTCACCGCGCTGTGACGTAACCGGCCGATGAAGGATGCAGACCCTGAATTGAGACACAACCTGAATCTTTATATTGATATAACGGGTCAAACTGCTATGCTAGTGATTAGCCGCTATGCTAGCAACATGTTGTTCCATCTCTAAGCGGTTATTACATGTATTATCACAAGTTTGCTCAATCTGAGAGCCTCTGTGTAAATGTGCTGCTCTAAACTTGCATTTGGCAGTCCAACACCTGGCCTCCCAAGGCTTGTTCTGACAGGATGGACGTTACGGGACCCTTAAGGATTCCAGTTGGATGATTGGAGGATTATTTAGGAGGATTGGAATGAACAAACTGATTTCAGTGGTGAAGGGTTAAATGAGTGAGTGAACCCACTACCAAGGATGAACTCTGCTAACTTTAAAAATCAGCTGCTCTACATAAGCATGAAGGTCAGAGAGGAGCTCTAGGATGGACACGGATAAAGGAACTGTAATGTAGAGGTAAAGCTGGGCAGGGCCAACGTTAGCAGCTGTCATACGGTCCATTTGAAATGTTTGACTTTCATTTAGCTTGTTATGTGACAGGCTAGAGCACAGTCTCATGTTAGAGTTTTGTCATGAGAACAATGAGATACATCACACACTGATGGCATCTAAAAATGAACCTTTTTCTTTTTACAAAATAAAGAATAATTTTAATCACAACTGAAACATTCAAGCCTAGAAAAACCTCGTCCAATCAATGTGCACGTCCTGTTCTCACTGACAGAAATCCCTCTATCAAACTGTGTCCGTGTGTGTGTGTGCACACACGAGCGTGTTGTGAACTGGTGTTGTGGTTTTGCACTGATGTAACCATCTTTACGCTGACAAAAATGTAACTAAGTAACTTTTACTTTGAGTACATTTTATTTACGATACTTTTTACCTTTACTTGAGTAAAAATTTAGGCAAGTACTTTTACTTGTACTTGAGTAAAAAATTATCAAAGTATTGGTACTCATACTTAAGTAGGAAATTTTAGTACTCTTTCCACCTCTGGTAACCGTTTAATTTTGAAGGCGAGCACAACGCGTGAGAAATGTTGTTCCGGTTCCGTTATTTTCCGCTCTGGTTTGCTAGTAAATACTCCTTTTCGAGCGATTCTGTTGAAGAGTTTGTAAGGCGTGGGTTACAGCGACAGTAGCATGGAAATAATCCTCATAAAAGAGCAACCAGAGACTCTGAGTCACAGTATAATCGCTGATATGAGCCAATACTGTTAGACTCCAGCCATGATTGCCCTGATAACTAATAACTCCACGGTGCATGACCCATGTGATCTTCATTAGATGCAATTACATCATCATACATTTAGTTTAACATGACAGATTTATTTTCTCTGTACAAGAAATATACGATATGGCCCAACTCTAGAAGAAATTTAAATAATTTTACATTAATTATGAATATATAATTAAAACATGCCTGCGGGACATTTGATATACTTCTAGCTCTCAACTGTGTTTGTGTGTGTGTGTGTGTGCGCGTGTGTGTGTGTGTGTGTGTGTGTGTGTGTGTGTGTGTGTGTGTGTGTGTGTGTGTGTGTGTGTGTGTGTGTGTGTGTGTGTTAACAGACAGCTGCACCAGTGTTTCTAAAGCTCAGACTGGTAAAGAATAGGCACTAAGGTTAAAGTTTGACAAGAATCAATACATTTTTATGCATTTAATCTACTGATTTAGGTACACAATTTCTCAAGACAGCTTGAAGTGAGTTAACTTGTAAATATTTTACAGGAGGAAACATTTCGAAATATAAATCATAGATCGGAATTCATCAAAAATATATCAAGATATAAGTTTTTGTCTATATCGCCCAGCCCTAACTGAAAGTGGTCCGGCTTAAAAGGGAAGGACACAACCATGGAAGACATCAGTGCTTTGTGGTGGAGGCGACTTAAAACCAGTGGTTCGACTGGTCGACTTTGACGTAAGCCTTGAGTTTCCATCCCTTCACAGTCCAGAAGAGAGCCTCCTGAGATGGGGTTCTTCTCAGAACAAGGCTTGTCTCTCCACGTCACCTCAGTTTCCTCCAGAAGCTCGGAGAAAACAGGTAGCACTAGCTTCCCATTCTTCCTAGCTTTCAGTAACTTCTTTCCATCATACCAAGACTTTACAACCTTTGTCCGAACTGCTGGCCAAGGAATGTTCAGCCTCATGGCTGCACGTTTACACATGTTTTGCATATCCAGGTGAGAAGGCATTGCGGGCTTGCCGTCTCCTGTGGGAGTGGGTGGCTGTGCAGCCTCACGATGGGCCACAAAGGTCTTCCTTCTCCTCGTCTATCAGCAGCATCTTCAGACTCAACCCCGTCTTCATCTCCCTCCCATTTCAGGATAGACGGAGGGTTGGCAAGTTAATCACAGACTTCATCAGCCTGAAGGAGGGGGAAACAAGGGGCATCAGCTGGGGGGTCTCCATCCGCCCAGCTTGGTCCGGGTGTAGCAGGAAGAGCCACCTCAATGTCACAGATGCAGCTTAGCTGTGTCCACCCAGGACCGAGTCCTCGCAGGTTAAGCTAACCTGGAGGGCTAACCGACGGCGAAGCAGTTTGCGTGATAAAGACGCAGAGTGGATACACTCATGAGTGGAGGCTAGCACCACTCAGGCATGATCCACATCCAAGCAAGTAGCACACATGGGGTAAATATCTCACAAGGAGAATTTGTTCCCACAAGGGCAGAGCTTGGGGATTTCCTCTGCAACATCAGCTTTAGCTGCAGTGGCCATTTTTGGCTACCGCTAGTAATTCGTGTGAATGCTCTCAAAGCTTGTGTGGCTAATGATTAGAGCAGAGGAAAAAATATTGCTCTATTACCATGTTAATGTACGATATTTCTACCAGAGTGTGCCGGGTTTTGCTAATCAAGAAATATTTGACTTGTGCACCCAGTCTGTGGACAGTTTAGCTTAGCTCCAAGTGGTACAGTTTCATAAAGGCTTCTGAGAGAAGCGAGAAGAGGAATTTGAATGATGCTATACCAGCCCTGTTGATAGTGCTGGTCTGATTCCTCCTGTCATAGATGTCATCTATGGCTGGCGTAATATTTAAGCTTCTGACAAGGTCACGCAGGAGGCGTTCCCCACAGTAAGACACAAAGCGAATGCTATGAAAGAGAACCACACGTTCCACATAGCTACTCAGCCGGGCCATTCCGGGTACCTACCCCTGTTCAGGTAGTCAGTTGGTTCCCAATAACGGCCTGCTTTGCCGGCGCAGTGAAGTGAAGACACATGAATGCTGGGAAGGTAAATTCACCCTGAAGTTCTGACAATGGAAACACACCTATTACACCATTAAAGAGCAAATAGCAGGTAAAATTTTATTTCAATTTAATAAAATACTGTCCATAAAAATAGTATTTGAAACACTTATTGTGGGTGTTTTGTTTTACAATACATAACGGTTCCTCATTTCAAGTAAAAAGTTGCCTTTTTCAGCAAAGCTTCTAAAAACACTTTTATAATAAATCTTAACCTCCGATGTAATGAGGGGGAGTTAGTCCTGCCTGAAGCTCAATGTGGCAAGTATGTACTTTTTGGGTAGATAGGTCATGTTATCGCGTCAGTGTGTGTTCACTAGTTTTAGATTGTGTTCATTTTTCATAAAAAATGGTAAACTATTGTGTGGAGACTGTACAAACTCTAGTGGGTCCAGACATTGCATCTTCAGGTTTCCAAATAAAGAAATGAATGGCACTATCTTCCGTTCCTGGTACGTTTTGTGCAGCTGAAAGCACGGTCGTTTATGGTGTGCACTTCAGATTGGAGGATTCCAATCCCAGTGATGTGATGGGAGTTCAACATGCCTCCTATCTGCCAGAGCCCTGTGGTGTAGTTTTAAAAAATACTTGCCGGCGCCTATGGCGTTTTGGCATTTAGAACCAAGGTCAACGTTGGAACCAGGTCAGGGAGGTCCGCGCTGAGCTCCAGAAGTGGATGAATGGCTTTTAAAATTTTCTTGTGGCCCGGGGAAGTTGGTTTTTGGGTCAGAACCAGTCCAGAACTGGCACCCCCAACCTGCAGCAGGCTCATAGCTATGGTCCACCGTAAGTATAAAAATAAACATTTAAAGTTTCCTCTGTATCAGAGCCGGCATTAAAATCCATATTTTTATCTGGATCAAGCCAACAGCACTCCTGCTGCAAATGTATAATTACACATGACTAACCCTAACCCTATTACATATCACATAAATTAATTGAAAAATGGTGGATCGGCTTTCCATACTGGGCTCTGCGTTTGACTGTCTGGTGTGTGTCACAGGAGATGTCAGAAGTTTTTGATGTTCTTCCAACAGCTGCTTTTGCTACAGCTTGTTGTTAGCAACATAGAGTATTGTGCAGTATGCAGACCAATCTAATAACTTCAGATATTTGTAAGTTTAAATGTGATTATAAGTCACAATGTTCAGACAAATTACTAACAAGACTAACTATTGACTAATAGCTGCATGTTTTGCTGTGTTTTTCAAACTGGCACAGGGTTGATGATTGACTGAATTATATCTGATCATTTTACATGACTGACTGCTGTTTTAAGTCCAGCAAGGTCTCTGTGAGCCCAATCAAAAGGCTGGCAGGAAAGGACAGAAGTCGTGGAGGACCAAATAGTCCAGCTAAACCAAGACCAGACAAACCTCACGTGTCCTTTTCTGATGCTGCTGCTGCTGACGAACGTGGCTCCACATGCAGCTCAAAGCTCTCTGGTTCCAACCTGAGAATAAGGAGACAGACTTTGCTGTTCGAAGACAAACTGGACTGTGTTTCCGATAACCACAGAGACACAATCAGCTCCTCACCAAATTTGAGCATGGACTCTGCTGTCTCTGACCCCAGATCAGTGGTCACATCAGACAGAAAGCTGCCTCCACTATCAGCTTCCTCAACTCAAGGTCAGCCTCGGTGCTTTGTGTTAATCTGCTGAGTAAAGTTTTTACATGTTCAGTGTGTTGTAATGAAATAATTACAATTATCATTGAACCCATGAATCTCTCTATGTACAGTATGCCCCAGGGCATTGTAGCTCATCATCACCAATGTGTGAATATGTGTGTGCATGAGTGGATTACGTGTTGTGAAGCGCTTTGGGGGGGTTGTAGAACCCTAAGAACGCCCTATAGAAATACAGGCCATTTACCATTTACAATTTACTTTAGGAACAGGGAAAGCTGAAGGACCTCTAGACCTGCTGAAAGCTCAGGATGCTGATAAGATTCTCATCAAGATTGCTGATCTGGGAAATGCCTGCTGGGTGGTAAGTGGTAAATCAGCACTAAAACAGCCAAACACAGTATGTAGAGACCTTACATTTACTATGGCCCGTAAATAAGTTTTGATTGTAGAAAAATATTCCAGTCTTTGGTGTCTTTACACAGATTCTGCTCACCTTAACAATAATTATCCAAATGTGAGACGTGCTATCTTTTAACTTTTGAAAAAGTAAAAACATTGTTTATTACTTAGGCAGTTTCCACATTGACCTCAGTTTCAATTTACATTTGAGATGTGGATAATAAACTACAAACCAGTTTTTAACTTTTGTTATTAGGCCAAATAAAACCGGAGATATATTAAAGTAAATAAACTACAATTTTTAGACATTCAGATAATTAGTCAAAACTGTGGTTCTGTGATCCGTGAAAGCAAATGTGCTTGTGAACATAAAAATGAAACACAACAACATGAGATCTGTCTGCTCTTGGTAGAAATCTCACACATTCAACTGATAAAAAGTAACATTTTGTAGTGGAAGAAGTGGCGTGAACAGAGTAACAGTAGACATGCTGATGGTAAACTTCATAGTTTGGAGCGATGTGTGACAGATATGTTGTCTCTGCGGTTTAGTAGAGTTTTATTGGGTTTATATACAAGACAATAAGAAGGATGGAATGTCCAGCAGGCAGCTCAGCTGCTTTTTGAACTGGAAGCGGAAGAGATAAACGGAGAATCGCAACTGACTGGGTCATGACGAGGTAAAGGAGGCAGGCAGAGAGCCAGCAGCTCAAAAATCCAACGAGAGGAGTGGGCAGCAGCTGTCAGATCCTGATCTCCAACAGGTGATACAGTGCCACTCCCCCACTGCAATAGGGAGCCTAACTCCCAGAACACACCAGACGCAGAAGCGTGACGAAGCGCCTTGGAAACGACAAGCACTTCTATTAACGTACGCTCTCGGTCACATCAGCTGCAAAGTGCCACGAAGGCTCGCGCAGTGCAGCGATTGTTTCGACATGAGCTCCAATTTTTATGTGAGCCGTGAGTGGGCCGCGTCATTTCTGGCAGGAAGTCAAACTATAACAGAAGAGGCAGGCTGGTAAATTTAACAAAATAAAGAAATTAAACACCACGAAATTTAACACCGTGATTGATAAATGTGATCATTTTTGTGTATCTAAACAGACTAGAGAGATGAAAATGAACAAACACACACGCACCCCTGTGGAGAAACATAGCTTTCCATAATTTTAAATGCAGTTTTTACGTCAAAAGATGGATTTAATAACTGTGAACACAAACAAATACCTTTAATTCAAAGGTATATTAACGATAGCATTGTACACTACCACAAACACTAGGTTATTTACTTTACCATTTAGAAAGGAATTGGTCTACAAAACAGCAGCAAAATCTGCACAGTTTCTGATATCAACAAGCGGGGCAAACTGTATAATATGTATTATGCTTTAAAAAATATTTGTTTCTTGAAGGCTCAGTCAACTACCTTTTTATCATAAAATGCATTACCGCAAAGTTTCTAATACAGGCCCGGGCCTTTATTTACTCAAGCGCATCCTGGTTCAAACCTTTATTGGAAGGAGGCCAGAATTAGACAGGCCTCAGTTTCAATTTTAGTAAAATAAACTACCAGTAAAACAAGATTTTGTGTCTATTTGAACCTATAAAATATTGGTTTGTTTATATAACCACTGTTCCTTGAAGGAGAAGAAAAGGGTACCTCATTGATGAGGGAGGTCAGTGGGCTGTCGGGTAGGACCCTTGCTCCAGGCAAAGTGCTTGCTTGGTCTGAAGCTTGGTGGAAGAGCTGAGGACGTGGGCAGTAGCGGCCTGCGCATGGTAATTGTTCTCCAGTTGAGCAGCTGAGAAGCGGCACGCCTTGAAGGGTAGATTAGCTTGTCCACTTACACCGTTATTGCAGGTCGGGGCCAGGTAAGCTGTGAGAGAGGGCTCCATCGGAGGGAGGTTAACCAATCCTGCCATTTCAGCGCCGTCGAGGTCCAGAAACTGACCGTAATCCGGGACCTTGGTGCGGGTGGATAGCAGCTTAGCCCAGGATGCTGTGAGCTCAGCCACAAAATCTGGGTACAATGGCAGAAAGTTCTTAACCTCCGCTGGTTCCAAAGAAAGGTAAAACCCAGCAAAGCGGGACCTCTTTTGTGCAGGTGGAGGAGCAGGCCAGTCCTCTTCGAGCCTCCCAGCTGCACGCCGGCAGAGTGGGAGAAAAGAAATGTCATCTTGCATCTTGGAGGCTGAGGTAGCAGCTGGAGCTGCACACTCCGCTGAGAAGACCTCCTTGTCCTCGAGTAAGTCGTGACCGTCTGGGCAAATGTCCAAAACATCTCCATCATCCTCTTCCAGAGGAGGAGGTAATTGAGAAGCCTCTAGGTCGGGTCCGGTTAGACTGTCTGTCATTTCCATCTGATCTGCCCAGGTAGTAGCGGGGACATCAATCGCTAGGCTGTCCACGTCAGAGCCAGTCAAAGCCAGGGCCGAGCAGGAAAGCATTGGGTCCTGCTGCAAAACTGCAGCGTCTCCCAGGAAATGTTGTAGAAACATCACTCGCCACTCGAGCATGGGATAGCGGAGTTGGTGACAGAACTCGCACGCTTCCGGATCCACAAGAGCTCTCCTGGCATGGAGAATTCCTAGACAAACCGGACATGCTCTCATGAAGAGAGAATCCACAGCCGTGAGTACAGGGGTGCGAAGTGGGTTTCCGTGAAGCGACGTCCAGCACTGTGCTCATGGCGAGACACACAGCGGAGCGGAACACCTGACGGAATGAAGGCAGAGAAGCTGAAGAGCCACAAAAGATAGCACTCAGTGGGTGAAAAATGTACCCAGAAGGCAGTAGAGTCCAGTCAGCGAGCGGTTAAGCAATCTTTCAATAGCGTTGCTAGTTTTTAGGTGTGTTCTCAGCGAGGTGTAGAGCGTAAGAACTGTCACTTATAAGTGGAGGGCGGGGCCTTCACACAGCGTCATTCATTTGCCTTACAGGTGGGATTCGATGTGTCTTCTGCCAGGCCACACGAGGGCTTGATTTCCCATAGTACCTTTGTTGTACCGACTGAATCGACTGAAAGACTGATTGTCCACAAAAATAAACAATCAATGATGAAGAAGACTCTGCTTCTAGACCTGCAGAAAGAGAAAAACAAGCAAAAAAGGGACACACAACTATACAATACTGCCTTAATTCTATGTGGCATTGATTCAACAATGTGCTGAAAGCATCCTTTAGAAATGTTGGCCCATATTGATAGGACAGTTGACTCATTGTCATGTTCAAGAAACCAATTTGACATGATTGGAGCTTTATGACATGGTGCATTATCCTGCTGAAGTAGCCATAAGAGGATGGGTACATGGAGGTCATGAAGGAATGGACATGGTCAGAAACAATGCTCAAGTAGCCCGTGGCATTTAAGCCATTCCCATTTGGCACTAAGGGGCCCTAAGTGTGCCAAGAAAACACCCCCCACACCATGACACCACCACCACCACCTGCCTGCACAGTGGTAACAAGTCATGATGGATCCATGTTCTCGTTCTGTTAACGCCAAATTCGGACTCTACCATTTGAATGTCTCAAAAGAAATCGAGACTCATCAGACCAGGCAACATTTTTCCAGTCTTCAACTGTCCAAGTTTGGTGAGCTCGTGCAAATTGTAGCCTCTTTTTCCTATTTGTAGTGGAGATGAGTGGCACTCGGTGGGGTCTTCTGCTGTTGTAGCCCATCCGCCTCAAGGTTTTGCGTGTTGTGGCTTCACAAATGCTTTGCTGCATTCCTCGGATGTAACAAGTGGTTATTTCAGTCAAAGTTGCTCTCCTATCAGCTTGAATCAGTCGGCCCATTCTCCTCTGACCTCTAGCATCAACAAGGCATTTTCGCCTACAGGACTGGAGGTTTTTTTTGCTTTTCACACCATTCTTTGTAAATCCTAGTAATGGTTGTGGGTGAAAATCGCAGTAACTGAGCAGATTGTGAAATACTCAGGATGACCTGTCTGACACCAACGACCATGCCACGCTCCAAATTGCTTAAATCAACTTTCTTTCCCTTTCTGAAATTCAGTTTGGAGTTCAAGAGACTGCCTTGACCAGGACCACACCCCTAAATGCATTGAAGCAACTGTCATATGATTGGTTGATTAGATATATACATTAAGGAGAAGTTGAACAGGTGTTTCTAATAATCCTTTAGGTGAGTGTAAAATAACATTGTTTTACTGAACAATCAAATGATAATGAATTACAGTGCATTTAGTGCCAACCACAGCCTTCAGACGTGTTGAAAATGCCCAAATCCATACTTATGAGAGCACCATGTGAGCACCTGTGTGTGTACACGTGCTTGTATATGTAAGGTTTCTCTGTAGGAGCGTCAAATAGAGAGTGTGAGGGGCCACAGATCTGCCCCCCAAAGATGCGTAGAAGACGGAGGGAGCTCCACGTCCCAGAAATCGAGATTGCAGGGATCCCAGGGAGACTATACCTAGAGAAGCCCCAGCCCCCTTTCGAGAGGTGTAGATGATTGCCCCGAGGGGCCACAACCAGCAGCCGGCAGAGTCCCAGGAGATATCAGCGGAAAGCCCACAGGCCCGCCCGTAGCCTCCCACCCCAAGCCGGCCGAGCCCGGAACCCAGCGACCCGAGACCTTCCTGGTTAAATAAAGAATAAATAAATAAACAGTTAACATCGTACGTACGTACCGTATGCATATTGTAGTGTTAAGGATTGACTACATATATATTAAATGATCAATAAGATGTGATATTCCATATTATATAATAACATTTACAACAAACACCGTTGTTTCAGGCTAAAACCCAGTTTGGTGACAAACGTAGCAAACATGCCGGTAGTGCATTGTAAACACTTGGTGATAATTAGGTCATTGATTCACAACAAAAGGCAACAGACACCTTACTGCTCTAAAGTTTAACCGTTTGTTTCTTGTTTGGTTTGAAGTTAAAAAAGAATCCTCCACCTGTTTAATCCTCATCATATCCTCTGCATTTCCACATTACAACGCTGAGCTAACTGCTAAAATCATTAGCACTCTACAAGCTATTTGCGGTGAGGATACATGAAAACAGTATAAAACTGTTTACTTGCTGTTTTCGTAGCTGCGTTTCCAAGCTGTTCAATAAAACGCCATAAAAAAACCTTTAGTAAACCCTTACCTGTGATGAAGTGATCACAGAAGACGATTTAAAGTTTTTTGTCGGATAATATTAAAACACGTCGGCATTGTCCGACGTGTTTTTGCAAACACTAAAGAAATGACAGATTTCCTTTTCTTTGGACAGTTTCTCATCGTGGCTCACACGATCGCCAATGACATGTTTCCTGATTCTTATTCACACTTTTTGTCCTCACTCTGAAACTCCTCGGTCTGTCTCTGATTACCCCGTGGTTCTGAATGGTGGTTTTACCTAATTCAGTTTGCTGAGTCATGTGATCTTGTTTACAGTTCATGTTTTTGTTGTTAGAACAAACACTTCACTGAAGATATTCAGACATGTCAGTATCGCTGTGTGGAGGTTCTGATCGGTGCTGACTACGACACACAAGCTGACATCTGGAGCACTGCCTGCATGGTAAGCTCAAACACAGCATGGATGTATCAGTCTCTTGTTTATTCTGTCACCTTTGTCACCGGTTCTGTAGGCTTTTGAGTTGGCCACAGGAGACTATTTGTTCGACCCCCAGTCTGGAGCAACGTTCTCCCGTGAGGAAGGTTTGTCTTGTGCACAAATACATTTTTGTTTTCAAATGAAGCTAGTATCACACACCACCTATCCATGTTCCCTCAGATCACATTGCTCACATCATGGAGCTGCTGGGGCCTCTTCCATCTCAGTTTGCTCTGTCTGGGAGGAATTCAAAATGCTTTTTCAACCACAAAGGTAAATCAAACTGTCACACTGCAGCTTCTGAGTTCAGTAATTCCTCTGGAATGATGGTTATTGTTGTTAAAAGTCATTGCATGGTTATATATGCTGTTGTACACATATTTATTGATTCACAGGTAGATTTTTACTTTATTTATCTGTTTGTTTGCTTGTTTATTATTTAACCAGGAAGAAAATCCCATTGAGATTAAAAATATCTTTTTCAAGGGCAACCTGGTCAAAATAGATTTTGTAACTCTTCTGTTCAAGTTAAATTTAATGCTTAAAAATCTGAATAATTAATGAGCATCAGAGCCACACGACTTCAGAGCTAGCTCATGTTAATAGATTTCGGCCATTTCTACTCTCAGAACTTTAGTTTCGTCTGTGTGTTCGTGTTTGGGTGTTAACCATAGAGTTATTTGGTCAAAGAGGGCAAGCTGTGGTTATTGACTGCACTAACAGATCATACAAGCAGTTTCTGCTGAATTTTTAACAGTAAGTAATATTATATTTCTGTACTTTATTTCACTGGTTCAATGGGAGGAAATGCTGTGTCATGCCTGGTCAAACATGTTAGTGGGACTGCATCAGAAACTTGAGCGGGTGCCTGGCTTCCCATGTTTCCTGCCTGGGAACAGTTGTTGGAGCCGGCAGCTGGCTGTTCCCGTTTCCCAGGGCAGCCGGGACACGCAAGGCTGTAGTCATGCTGGTCACTCGTGGATCTCTGAGGGAGACCACAGAAACACCGCAGCTCGTTTAGTTGAAGCTGCTTCACTTCTGAGTCACTCAACCGCATTTTTCTCACTAATAGTTTGCTGGTTGAATGGAGTAAAATTCTGTGCATTTACCATAGCACCACTTGGTCTAAGAAGGGATGAAATATAATCGGTGTGGCTGCTGGGTAAAAAAACTAGAGCTACATATCTGACCGAGGATAGAGGAGGCTTTTGGGCTTCGCTGGTCCATCAGACGAGTCCGCCGTTGTCGACAGTCCTGGTGTACCGCGACATGGCTCTCGCCGTTGTGTTACACCACTCCCAAAGACTGGACCGTCCACAACGACGGACTCACGGATCGGCTTTGACCGCAGTGGACCAGCAAAGCCCGATATCCTCAGTCAGCTTACGTATTTATTTATTTTTTTAAACTTCTTTTTACTTCTTGGTTGAATAAAAATCAATTTAAATCCAGATGTTCCAGAGTTATGAGATTAACATCATTCGGGTATTATTTATATTCATCAGTTTCATATAATCTATTCATGTTGTCCATCTAGCTGCATGAATGTATTTTACTATAATAAAGCAGTCAGCTGTTTTCAGGTAGTTTCCGGCAGTCAGACAGAACTAGCAGCGATGCTAACTATCTGAGCTAACAGGACATCTGGAAACGAAAACATCTGTTTACTGGTTGAGAACTTGGTTTATTGAGCATTAACATTTATATGAATGGAGCTGACGTGATTATCCTTATATAAGGGAAACCTATTGGCTTGTTGTCATAATTACAAGCGATCCAACATGAGAATAATGAACGTAGCACGTTCTGTTGTCACCATGGTTGTCACCCACAGACTGAACGATCAAGTAAGGACGACACTACGCAACTATTAGCACTCTTGATGCAGAGGAAGCTTGTGTCAGCGCGTTACCACAGCAACAGATTAGGAATTTGTACGCTCGGAGTCATAAACTAATACTTACTACATTAAAAAATCCCCTCCTGATCAGAGGGACTCAGGGTTTTCCTAACAAGGGGACCCTCGCGTCTGTGTGGACTCCATAAGCTTTAACCTACGTGGGTAGAACACCTGCAGGCACGAACCCGGGAAGTGAAAGATTCAAATCTAATTCGGTCCAGCGGCCGTTTTTCCGTTTCTTATATTTGATCCGAGACTAAAATAGAAGATACGAAAAACACCACATTTTATGTTTTTTTTAACCAATTAATAAACAAAAAACAAAAACATTTTTCCTGTTTTGATTTTTTGTTTTCAATCGAAAACAGAAAGAACGAATGATACACGGATTCGTGTCGGTATTTGAAGTTGACACACTGTTTTTATGAGTTTAGCTGTATTTCTTAAACTTGTGTCACAATCTGCAGTTTTTTCTGCAATTATGTCAAAATGAGTTAAATTTGTTTGAGTATTCAACATAAAAATGTTTTTCCCCAGGTCAGCTACAACACATCTCTAAACTCAAACCCTGGAGCTTGTTGGAGATCCTGCTGGATAAATACGAGTGGCCTCGAGAGGAAGCCGTCCAGTTCAGCTCATTTCTCCTGACCATGTTAGAGCTGCTGCCCCACAAACGAGCCACAGCTGCTCAGTGTTTAAAGCATCCCTGGATCTCCTCATAGAGAACCGGCTATCGCTAGTTTTTTGGGTCTTTTACTATTTTAGTCAAGTGCAGGTCCAGCAATGACAAAAATGTAGTCGTCCTAAATAAATGTCTGTCTTCTATGTGTGAATTTTAATAAACTGACCATGACTTTAGACAGGTTTAACGAGTTCTTCTAAACTTCATCTGGGAAGACGTAGAGATGAATCTGGTTCCCCTTGGAAACAAACCAGTCTGCATGTTGGTGCACGAGAAACCAGCTACAGTCCGTTACAGCAGCTTCACTAAAGCTAGGTTCAACACAAAGGTGAAAATAGGGATGTGAACATGCGGTGTTTGGATTTTAGAACAGTTCACTAAAACATTTGTTTACCTGCTAAAAGTTAAATAACATCATTGTGAGGACGCGGAGGGACGAACACTTCTGTCAGCAGCTCCAGGTCAAATGGACGGGTGTGTTCAGTTGGAGTAGTTGTGCTGCACATTCCTCACATGCTCACATTCAGCACAGCGGCGAGTAGGGGGATGGAAGGAAGAAGAGGGAGGAGTTAGTCTCATGTAAACGCAGACATATGTCCGGCTCGCAGAAACTCTGGGCTCTCTAGCAGCGACAGGACGTGAGAAGAGGACGTGGAGCACCACCTGCTTTCACACGTGAGTCTTCTTCTCTGTTTTTGGGGAAGACCCTCACAAATGCTTAAGCATTTATTATTGTTCTTCACAAGACTTAGCAGTTCTGCTACAGACGTTCAGTCTGGATTCATGCATCCCTGATAGGTTTAGGAATGCGTGCACAGTAGGTTTGGAAATCAAAGGTTAGTCTTTAGTAAACAGCGCCGTGACATCAGTGTACCTTGTTTTTCCCTGTGGATCTGCTTTTATTTGAAAAGGCTTTTATTGTGTATTTGTGTCTTTTTAACCATGTAAGATGTAACAAGGTTCAGACTTTTCTGCCTTTAGTTTTATGTGTTTAGGTGAAGCCAGGGTAAAGGTGAAAGTCTCTGTTCTGTGCCTGTGGTGACACAGCTCTTAACCCCCAGCCAGTTGCCATGCAACTCAAACTCCAAATCAAAAGGGATTACCTCAACCTCCGCTGCTCTTTCACAGTTGTGCTATTTGTTCGAGATAATCTTTTCCAGCCATGCTGCGCACCGCTTTCCCACAGAAGGAGCTCTTATTTAAGATTCAAGCTGTGCTTTTCTTCTCTTCCGTTGCCTTTTCGTCCCCTTCCGTGTTTTATCTGTGCCCGGCTCTCCCAGCTGCGATATTCCCTCTGAGAGTGGGAAAGCTGCTTACACAGCTCTGTGTTCATTGCAGCTGATATGAAATGATTTTCTACAGCGATGTGATTATTCTGAGTGGGAGAATGGCTCAGTGGCAGCTGGGAAATGGGAGCAGCTAGAGTATTGTACACTGAGTAGTAAACACCCATCTCATTAGCTCAACACAAAGGGAGAGATGGGATGAGGGGAGACGGAGAACTGTTTGATCTTTCTGTGCTGTCCCTGTTTTAGCTAGAGCAGCCTGTCTGTAATGCAGCACCGCAATAAGGCTTTCCTGATGTTTCTGCTGTCTCTAGGATGTGGCTGACTCTTCTCTACTGTTGCACCGGTGGGGGGGCTCTGCTGTACGTTCTGTACAAATGGGTGATCCCCCACGTCGTACAGTACCATCCAGGTCTCACCCTTTTCTGGCACGACAGGATCGTAGAGCGAGTTCTGGATACGCTGACCCAGTCGACACGTCCTCAGGTGTGTCTTCACTAACCACAGTTACCTGACTGCGACTCAGTCCAATAGTTGGGTCGTTTAGCGCTTCTGTAAGCACACCTGTACACCTGGTCATCCATTAATCCTATCAGCAAACTGCAGATAAGACCGAGGAGTCTGAACAAACGCGCCAGGATTGCCCTGACTCATGAGAATAATGACCCCCCTGACCTTTTGTAAAGTGGAGTTTTGTCAGAAATGTGTCAAAACATCTTTAGGAAACACCTACAGCTGAGAAGGACACTTGCTTAAAATCATTTACAACAAGCTGCATCTGGAGATGAAGTCTTGCATGAATGAAAAGCTTTGGAACATCAGGAGACCATGTGGGAGTCCTCGTTGGCTACACTTATATGAGGCTGCTCTGCCTCGCCATACTTGCACTCTTAAATGTATTCTTTTTTAACTTAGCACGTGCTCCAAATTTAGCATGAACAAAATTAATTTCTGGACATGTTTAGGTGGTGAGGAGCTCAGAGAGTCGCTGCTCTTTAGTATTAAAATGAACCAGCTCAGGAGCTTTGGGAACCTAGGATTCGACCTTTCAGAAGGAGACGCTGAGGCAGACCCAGGTCTTACTGTCTTCATCATTGTCCTTGGAACACCTTGAGATTTCTCTGGATAAGCTGGAGAGAGGGAGGTCTGGGGATCTCTGCTCCAGTGACCCGGTTCTAGATAATCAACACAAGATAAACAGCTTAATGAGGCAACAACAGGAGTTACGTAATGATAACCAGTGAGCAGTGTTGGGCAAGTTACTTCAAAACTGTAATGCAATATTTATTACTTGTTACCCTCATTTTAAAGTAATTCATTACATTACAATATTACTGATTTTAAAATGTAAGGCATTACACTACTTTTGCATTACTTTAAGTTACTTTCACCAAAACAACTTCAATATGAATCTGGTAATCTGTCACTCAGTGAGCTCATGACATATATGTGGAAGGTGATGTGGTGTCTGAGCTAGGATTGCTGTTAAAAACAGTCAGATATAATAACAGCGCTTTAAAATGATTGTTTATTAAATAAAAGCAACAACAATCTGTACTCTCAGCATGCTGCTATCTTATAGGGCCAACTGAGCAGGGAGTGAGGTGGTGGGGGCTCCAAGCCTATATTTGCCTTGGTCCCCAAATGCCTTGATACGGCCCTGGATGTGGGACTGACTTCTGGGGTGATCTGATACCATCACATGTATAAATATTAAATGCTTATATATTATTGCTTTTCACTGGTAAAAATGTGTATTGGGGATAAATCTACCTACTTTTTTTCTTTTCAAGCACTTTGTTTTGTTTTCTTGATTTTATGTGAATAATTTCCTGCCCTTTCTCTCTCTAACCTTCCTGCATGCTGCATGTTTTCACCGTCTTCCAGAAAAACTGTTTCCTAGACTTCCTACTTTCCAACTAATCAGCCAAAGGGATCTACCAAACGCAAAATAAATAAATAAATAAAAATAAAAAAAGCTTAATATGCGCTGCGCTCCGGCAGCAATGAGTTGAAATCACCGGCGCACAGATTATGGACTCAGCTGAAAAGTACATAAAGTACCAGAGAATATGGGCGGATATAAACGATCGCAAACGAATGACTTTGTTTTGGTGGAGTGATTTTGTGAATATAACAGCGGCCGCGTGCAGGACGCAGCTGGAGTATTTGAGCCATTACCGCTGCGTCCTCTCTGCTCATAGAATGCCTGCAAAGCTGAGTCCGTAAATGACGTCATATATGTGGATACTGGATCTTTTTTCAGGCTTCCCGCAATTTGAATTTTTAGGAAACCCGCATCTTGATTCTGGGTTTAAAAATGCATTGTAATTACTGCGTTACTGACAATTGTACCGAGTAAATATTACCATTTTCTTTCCCTGTAATGCCTTACATTACCACATTACAGCAAAAAGCAATGCATTAGAGTAGTTAATTACTTTTGTACCGCATTACTCCCAACACTGCCGGTGAGAAAACCACAGAACCGCAGGAGGATGAACAGAACAGAGAACAGCAGCAGGATCTGGTCATGAACCAGAGACAGCAGGAAGATGGGATGACCCCAATAATAATAAATAACCCAGAGAAAACCCAACAAATATATCTAATAAAACAGTTAAACAGGGTTTTAGTAGCATCCACTTTTATTGGTAGCTTAATTCTGTTTGCTTTTGAAGTAAAAAATAAATCCATCACATGATTGTGTTTGGATTTTATACAAAGTCAAATTCTGTTGGTGTTTACTAAGTAAATACCAACGCAACTCAGGCTTATGAGGATGTGAATTAATGCATTTAACTCTGAACCACAGAACCAAACAATCCGCTACAGCAACAGGTCATTTATACAAAAAATACAACCAGGGTGATGCATCAGACAGTAAAACAGAGACGTTCGTATTCAAATGAAAGCTCTTTTAGAATATTTGTTACCTGAAACTCATGAATCACTTAGCATGGTGCTTCTTTATTTAGGTATGTCAGCTGCTCTTTTCTGACCCATGCTAAAATGCTCAACATACAGTACACACCCGTCTCATTCCATGTGCTTTCTTTATTTTCATGTTGGTATATTTTCACTGAAGGTGTCAAAACTAGGAATGAACATGAAAACATGTTTTATATTCTTTTTTCTTCATAATAGCCACCCTTTGCTCTGATTACGGCTTCACACACTCTTGGTATTCTCTTGATGAGCTTCAAGAGGTAGTCACCTGAAATGGGTTTCCAACAGTCTTGAAGGAGTTTCCAGAGGTGTTTAGCACTTGTTTGCCCTTTTGTAAACGGTCACGAAAATAATGAGAAGGTGTGTCCAAACTTTTGGCCTGTACTGTGTGTGACAACATACATGACACACCCTTTCTTTACACCGTAGCTTTCCTAGCATCACAGCCTTTAGTTTCAAACTTTAATTACTCTGGTAACGAGTTTGATTATGTTTTAGGTTTTTTGGAAAGCATTTGCAGGTCGGTGTGATCTCTAATCCACACACTCAGTTTTTCAGAAACTGTGACCGCAGTTTGAACATTTGAAGGATGAGTAAAGCTTTGGAACGGGGAACAGTAACTTGCTTCTCATTTCACAACTATCTCGTGGTGGCTGAAGAGGAAAAGTCACAAGACCTCAAGCTTGAGTCACCAGAAAACATCTGTGCTGTTCTGAAATTTAGCCGCTAATCTTCCTAAATGTTGTCTTTGCTTAAAGCGTCCGTCCTCCTTTCAGCTGCACTCACCACTTTGCTGCTGAAGGATCCTCTGAGTTGTGCAAGAAAACAAGGTCATAACAAACTTTTATTTTGTTGTTGATTCATATTTTTCTCAGAAACATTTATTGCCAGCTTGCAGGAGAAAACTGGAGACCAGAGTGATTGTATAGAAGTTTTACAGGTCAAAGTACAACAGGGCACTGATGGTGTTGAAACCATGAAAAAGTGCTGCATCACCCTCCATCCTAAATCCTTTGTTGTTAGAGCTAATGAGCCTGGGTCCATGTTCTCCTTTTAATCTACATGTGAAAAGTGTTCTAACGGGGTAATTACTGCATGTATTTGGGTGCCACAGTCATTTAAACACAGATCAATCAAGCATTCTTCAACCATTATTGTTATTTACACATCTTGTTCATTCTAGGATTTAATTGTTGAAAGTTCATCCGTCTTGTGCTGTGAATAAAACCCAGTCTTAGATAAGAGTGAGCTTGGAGGGACCTTGTCGAGGCAGCAGTATCTTCCTGCAGATTAAAGCACCAGTTAAGACTTGTGTCTCCAAATGACCCGATACTGAAGAGGTGACTTGTAGATTGAAAATCAGACCATTTCCGGAGGCTACAGTGTGTTTGATTGTTAAAGGAGCAATATGTAAGAACTGTACAGTAATGTCTAATTGGAAGGAAGATTATACTGAAACAGGTTTCCTTTGTCAAGGATTAATACACTGAGTTTTCTTCAATGATCTCTATTCAGGGTCTTTGGAGGCCTAACAGAAACAAACAGGAACATGCAAAAAATAACAAATCTGCCGAAACAAAGTCGGAATTAGTCATTTTAGGCTGGTGATTTTATTTCCCCTCAAACATAATTTTGATGTAAACAGAAGCCAGTTCAGTGTGGGGTCATCTATGGTGATGGTGGAGCTTCAGAAATAACCAGTAAATGTTAATGAATTAATCTGTAACTTCAGAACCACTCTTATTTGCCTTTAGGTGTTTATATCAGCTGAAAATCCAACTCTTCCAAGGGTTTTAAAACTAAAATGTGTATTTTTTGCCTTTTATGCATATTTTCTAAGTTTTCTATAAAAATAATTAGTGCAGGAAAAACTGAGAACAATACACAATCTAAGGCTTAAAACATTCATGTCAATCAATCAATCAAAGCTTTATTTATAAAGCGCCTTCCGCAACCCTGTCAGGAAGCCCAAAGCGCTGAACATGGTACAGTTGTAGGTAAATATATTGAGTAAATCAACAATAAAAGCAATTCAAATTACAAAATCCAAATTACAAAATAGAAATTACAAGATAGATGAAACATTCTGTTACAGGACAAATCTGTGAAACACATTTGGATTGAGTGGATGGAATGAGTGAACCAATGAAAACTGTGAAATAAATTCAACATAAAAGAGGGCCAAAATCAAACATGTTCAGGAAACGCCAAGCGGAGGAGGTGTGTTTTTAGGTGACTCTTGAAGACTGGCAGAGATGGGGACAGCCTAACTGAGGGTGGCAACTGGTTCCATAGTGACGGTGCTAGGACTAAGAAAGCCCGGTCCCCACGGGTACGACACCTAGACCGAGGGACAACGAGCAGGCCTTGGTCAGAGGAGCGCAGAGCGCGTGATGGGGAGTGTTTGTTCAGGAGTGTGGCCAGATAGGGGGGACCACCACCCTGGAAGAAATTGTAAACAAAGACGAGGATTTTGAATTGTGAGCGATAGCAAACCGGAAGCCAGTGCAGAGAGGCCAGAACCGGACTGATGTGGTCCCGTTTCCTGGTCCCAGTCAGGAACCTGGCGGCGCTGTTCTGCACAACCTGTAGGCGGCGCAGCGATGACTGAATAACGTGTTATTATTGTGTTAGCATTAATTCATTAATGCCAATAAATATAAAGCTGGACAGTATTTGTTGTTCTGGATTGTTGCAAAAATACGTCTGAATAAACTAAGTATATTTTTCAGCTCCTTTAGCCAATAAAGCACGAGAAACATAAAAATATCATGTTATCCTAACTTTAATAAATAACAGTTGATTTTTAGCCCTAATAACTAGTGGCATATCTAATGTTGAGATGAATGGTTTTCCATCCAGAACAAGTTTTCAGCCTTCTAATGAACACAAATCTAAAGTTAGTCTATGAATTAAAGCAACGTCATTCATCCCCCATGATTCTAATCAACAAGTTTAATCTCAAAAACTCAAATTTAATGTGTAAAACACCAAAATGGAGTCTAAGCCATGATGGGGCACTTCCTGTTAAAAATCAGACTTTCTGCAAGCCATCAGTGACGAAACACACAGGCAGTAGTTCAATGAAAAGATCCAACAAGCCGCAATATGTTTGTTTTCACTCTGATCATTTATTAGTATGCATTTATATGTTTTATTTTTTAAATCAGGTGTTTAATTAAATCAGACAGAAATACTTTTCCCACATCTTCAGAGATTTTTACTCCTGGCCTTATTAATATCAACAACGTATGATAGTTTCTTTATTTCTTGATGCAGCCAACAGCTGATGAGTTTTCTCTCCAGCTTCAGGTGTGTTTTTCAGCTCTGGAGCGATTTATTTTAGTAACAAACATGGAGGGCTGCAGACCTGTAGGTTGGTCTCAGAGGGGCAGAAAGCAGACAAAATATCTGCCCATCCGCATGTTGTCCTACCTCCTAGTGGCGGTCTTAATAAAACCTTAGAGACTTGGTCCTGTTGTTTGTTCCATGGCTCCCTCCAGCGCATGCTGGCTGCAGTACATAACAACGCCACCAGAGGAGACCCTCGCAGCGTGGTGAAGGCCATCGATCAATTCTGCAGGCAGAAGGAGTGGGCCATGAACATTGGAGATGAGAAAGGTAGTGACTTCACTTCCACAGCTCTGGGTGTTTGTGAGTTTTCTGATCCATCTGTTTCGGCCCACCAGGCTGCATTCTTGACTCCGTGGTGTCGGAGGTAAACCCAGCCATGGTGCTGGAGCTGGGAACCTACTGTGGCTACTCTACGGTGAGGATCGCCAGCCAGCTGCCTCCTCATGCCAAGATCATCACCCTGGAGTTTAACCCACAGAACGCTGCTGTGGCCCGGCAGATCATTGCCTGGGCAGGACTGGGGGAGAAGGTAAAACTTGATCTTTGGGTCAAACTTTGTTTTGCTCAGATAACAGGGGAGTTCCTTTATTCCAGATCAAGCTAATTGAGGGATCCTCTGGTGACTGGATCCCCAAACTGAAAGAGCAGTTTGGGGTTGACACATTTGACTTGGTCTTCTTGGATCACTGGAAGGACCGCTACCTTCCTGATACTAAACTTATGGAGGTGAGTTTTCTTACTGCAGCTTCTTTTATGTTTTCCTTTTGCCGTGACACAGTCTTTGCTTTCATGACAGGAATGTGGCCTTCTAAGAAAAGGCAGCATTCTGTTGGCAGATAACGTCATCTGCCCTGGAACCCCTGAATACCTGGAGTACATCCGTAACAGCCCGCGGTACAAGAGCCAGTACTTCAAGTCTCATCTGGAGTACACCAGGGTGGAGGACGGCTTAGAGAAATCCATCTTCCTAGGGTAGATGTTTACAGACAGCATCATGTTTGATGCAGGTACATTTCTGAGCTGCTTTCTTTCAGGATCACTAAGCAGAATCAAAGAAAATCAGCTCTGTTTTTCTAATGTAACTTTACATGTTGACTTGGGATTAAAGGCCACAATAAAAAAGTGTGATGTTTTAATTTCAATGATGTAAGTCTCGGTCCTTGATGACATGTCCTTATTGGTGCAGCAGACGGCAGTGATGATCCTTTAATTGACAGATGAGCTGCAAACTGATCTGGGAGCTGCCTTTTGTCAGAGCATCAACTCAAATCAGTTGGAAATCTAATCCAGTTGCAATGCGGGAGCAGAAACCTACTTTGTGCTCTGATATTCTGTATCATTGTGTTGACAGTGTCATGAAAGTGAGTGCATGTGGTGCGTTAGTGTGTTTATGTGTGTGTTTGAGAGAGACAGAGGGGGTATGAAACATTGCTGCTCATCTAATCTCTCAGAGTGATGGAGTTTCATCATGCTTAGAGGGGAGGATTTCGCTCCAGCTGTACACGGAAAATATAAAGTATGGGCTCATTCACCTAGTGCTTTCTTCACAGACGCCTGCATGATAATCCCAATCTGAGGCCATTAGTGCGCAGAGAGAGCGGGCAAGTGAGTGGAGGGCAGAGAGAGAGGGAGGGGGGACTGGACAGAGAAGAGCAGCGGAGAGGGAGAAGCTTTTAAAGGATTTGGCTGTGATTTCTACATTCTCCTGCTGCACTTCTCTCAGGTTCTGCCACGAAACCCCGAAGCCTCAAACAGCTGTTTCTTTCATTCCTCTTACAGAGAACAGGGATTTAGTAATGAGAGCATTATTCTCACCGTCTTTCAGCCTTTGATGGTGCTGAAAGACAGTGAGATGACAGAAAAATACCTTTTGGTGAAGAGAAAACAACCAGAATTTTGATCCATTCCTGACATTTCTGGACCATGTTTGGAGACCTGCCTGCTGGACCTGCTGAGATGGGTAGGTCGAAGACTGATCCCTGAAAAATGGATAGGTAAGACCTGGACTTTAATCTTCTCTGTAACAGTTGTGTGATTTACTAAGTTTCTGTTGTCTCGAGTAATGTCTGTCAAACTTTAAACGATTGATTTGTGCAGAAGACTAGGATGTGAGACGATCATTTTAAAGGATTTGAAATCAAACACCGCATCAGAGTAAATGTGCAGAGATTGGAGTATTTCTTAGATGTTTGGAAGGTGAATCGGAAACACATTTTTTACCCAAGAATGTGACTTATAAAGTGCAGAGAAAACGAACCCACTCCAGGCTCTGAAGCATGAAATGTGACAGTTTACGTGATGTTTTCTGTCTTGCAAAATTTATGGTGTTTTCCATCATCGGCTCTCAGCTCTTCGTGATAAAAGCCTCCAGCGTTTCTATCTGAAAACCCCTCTACGCCAGCTCCTTTTGGAACCGTTTTCTCTTCGATGTTCTAATTTTAAATCCCAAAACCAGACATCGCTTCATATTTACTGTTTTTGTGTCAAAAACCAAATTCATTCATTTTATTGGCACTTTAACACAAGATATTTGCCCCCGAAACAAAAAAACATGAAAATTAAATCCAAATATTCAGGAGAATATTCTGAATAGATGCAGAATTGTTGTCCTCACCCATCTGTGTTGAGTTTTGTTGCGTGGACAGATCTATGGACATGATTATTCCATTCATTCAGTTCCACAGTCTCCTGGGTTCTCCGAAGATGCTCAACCTCTGTGTGGACTGAAGTCTTCAAAAAAAAACTCCTGAGTTTATTTGACTGAATTCAAATGGACCTCTTGAACGTAACCTCTGTTTTTACGAGGAGATTCTTATTCATGAATATGATGTATTCTCAGAATCCCATCTTTCTTGACTAAAGAGATGATATCAGCGCCCCATGACGACCCACTCAGCCCACTGAGCTGGTCTTTATTTTATCACATCAGTAGGTTTTGCGTATCTGGAAGTCATCTGTGTGTCTTTGCAGAATGCTTTGCTCACCTTTTACTGGAAAACTGCCTCTGTGAACCCCAGCAGCAGAGCGGTGACGACTGGGTGCTGCACAGGGACTGCACAGCTGTTAAATGTTGCACATCGAGCTGCCAGATCTCACAGTGGCCCTTCTGGTTAATTTACCAGTTTACCCATTCAACTGTAATGAGCATTTATTTGATATTCAGATGGTTTCCATGTGAGACTGTGGATTTGGACACTGCTGCATTTTTCTCTCACTATTTTTTTTGCTTCTCAAAATGATGTTTTAGCTCTAATAGAATATTGCTGCTTTAGTAACGCCAACGAGACGTATATGACTGAACATTGACGTCTATAACAGCTACACCCCTTACATCATCGGGACTTTTCTAGGGGGAGGGGTTACCTAATTTTAGCTGAAACCTGATTTCGACAGCTTATATACTTGGGTTTTATTTTAAATATTTAAATGTAGCTTTATTTATTTATACTGAACCTGAGGGCACACAAGAGTGTAACAAACTAGAAAATTGGTTTCCCGTGTCCACGATGTCTGGTTATGCACAAAAAACAACTCCGTATACACAAATTTGACTATTAAGCGAAGCATGGTCACACTTAGCTGCTAATTTTGCGATGTATTACTAATCAGACATTTTGAAAGCATCCAAACAATAACATGCACGTGAACCGTGAGCAGAACAAGATTTTGAAGGGTTTTAAAAGGGTGAAGAGCTTTTATATCTAAATCCTCTGGACTGTTATCAACTGAATGAGTTTATGAAACATTAAGAATATAATCAGGAATTTCACAGCCTGTCTTTTCTGTCTTCAGGTACCAGCGGTAGAGACGGAGGCTGTCAGTACCTCTGCAGGCCATCATGATGACATCTTCATCCCTTCTGTTCCTCTGGCTTAGTTTGTTGCTTAGATACCAGATATGGCTGCAGCTGCTCTGGCTCGGTCCAGCCTCTCAGGCCCAGCAGGGCACCCAGCCTCAGTCCATCAAAATCGAGGGTGACATCACCCTGGGGGGGCTCTTCCCTGTCCATGCTCGGGGACCTGCTGGGATTCCCTGTGGAGAGATCAAGAGAGAAAAGGGAATCCACCGGCTCGAGGCCCTGCTGTACGCCTTGGACCAGATTAACAACGACCCCGACCTGCTTCCTAACATCACTCTGGGAGCTCGAATACTGGACACCTGCTCCAGAGACACCTACGCTCTGGAGCAGTCCCTCACATTCGTCCAGGCCCTCATCCAGAAGGACAACTCTGACGTGCGCTGCTCAAACGGAGAACCCCCCATCATCCCCAAACCAGAGCGGGTGGTTGGAGTGATCGGTGCGTCTGGCAGCTCGGTGTCCATCATGGTGGCCAACGTGCTCCGGCTCTTCGCGGTGAGATTTCCATATTCTCCCTACGTTTCTTCCTTAACCAGAGGAAAAAGGCAGAATCATTCCGATTGTTCCCATTCTCAGAACAACCACGGGAAGAAGTCATAAACTTCACTAAAAGGAAACAGAGGGGTGTGTGTCAGTGGTTCTGAGCCCAAGATATTTCAAACAGGTCCCAAGATGGTAACAAAACGTGGTTTCTCTGAACTCAGATCACTTGAGGATTTCCTTTTCTGCGTTCTTGTCATGGTAGCAGTGTCTCACTGCACTTCCACAAAAAAAAATGTTGAAAACTAACATTTTGATGCAAATATAACCTAAAAACACAGTTTTGATCTTGACCTCAACTGTTTTTTTAACTCACTACACATAAATAGGAACTGTCAGTTTTTACCTTTTAGTAATGGAACACCAGCATCAAATAGTTTTGGCTCACGGAGCTTATTGCTGATATTAAACAACACTTCGCCTGTTTTCTCTGATATAATAAAGGCTGTGTCACAAACTGAGAGAACCTCTGAGAAACAGTTCCATAGATCCAGCAGACCCCTCAGTGCAATAGTTTAAAATCAACATAACCAACATTTGATATGAGTATCTGAGTCCGAGCACATCCCACATTTCACCAGAACACCTGTTTATCACACCCATGACGTTGTTCTGTTTCCGTGTTCATGGATGTTTCAGCATTCCTTGTGATGAGCACGCAAAGCCGAGAGCCAAAGAAAGACGGCTTGCATACGAGCCAGATGCTAACTGTAGATTTATGCATCCCACTCGTCACTAAACCCCTCTCAGCAGCTCTGGAGCCTGGGAAGGATAAAAAAGTAAAAATAAAAAAGAGCATGAGAGTGACAGGATGGCATTGCTGGTAGGATAACAGAAACTTATGATCTGAGCAGAGTACATTTAGCTAAATGGTGTGTTTCCTCCCGCCATCCATCCATGTGTGTGTGGCTCTACCGGCTGCAGCTGCTTTTAGTCTCCTATTCACTGTGATGTACAACAGCTCTTCATCAGGTCAGGACTCAGCAGCTATCATCATCATCATCATCATCATTCTTCTTCTTCTTATTATTATTATAAGAAAACAAGACAATCTTTTAAATATTGCCTCTCAAGATAAAAATGATTATTATCATCATTAATATTATTATTGGGAGCGCTAAGGCATTCCCAGACCAGAGAGGCTATATTAACCTTGCACCAAGATTTCCATGTTTGTTCATTTTGCCTGAGACACCTCAAACGGAGGTGACCAGGCGGTGGCCGGACCACCTCAGCTGACTCCTATTAGTGAGGAGGAGCAGAAGCTGGAGGGCGGAGCACCTGAGGAGCTCCACCCTGTGAAGGGAACTCTTACTTGGCCACTTGTGTCCAGGATCGTATTCCTTTAGTCTCAGTGATGCTTAGTGATGCCTGGAATGCAGACAGGCCTGTGGAGTCAGAGTTTTGCTCTCCAGCTTATTTACATCACTCATCTTAGCCGCTTCATCCTGACTAGTCATGTGGAGCTGGTGCCTATCTCCAGCAGTCATAATGTGAGAGGCGGGGAACGCCCTGTCCTGGACAGGTCTCTAGTCTCTAGTCCATCACAGGGACAAACAACCAGTTACGTTCCACACTCACCCACACCCAGGGACAGTTTCATCTCCAGTTCATCTGACATGCATGTTTTGGTCTGTGGGAGGAAACCCACACATGCATGGGGAGAACATGCTACCTCCATGTGGAATGGCTGCAGCTGGGATTCAGACTTGCAACCTTCTTGCTGGGAGGCAACAGTGCAGCTTCATTCAGGAAGCCCCAGCCTCAACCTGGAAGGAAAATTCCACCTTTTGTCTGGTTAAACATAAACTCCTGAATCAACGTGTGTGTGTGCTTCTGTGTAAGGAGTTTGTGAGGTGAACATGTACATTTTCCCTCTTGAAAACTAGATAAACAAAGTAAATAAATAAATAAATAAAGTTTTAAAGGAAGGGAACAGATCAACTGAGGCTAAAACTAGTTAAACTGTAATCGCCTCACTGATCTATTTCATGTTTTTAGTTATTTTTAGTTACAATTGAAATGAAATTCATGTTATTAGCTGTGATTCATGGCAGGTTGTCTCTGCTCTGTACAAAACTATTAACAGGTCCAATTCAGTCAAATCAAATTCAGAATAATGACTGTGTTTATAATATACAACTCAGTCTGATTGAGAGACGATGATGCATCAGTTTAAGAAGGATGAAAGCTGAAGATAAAACATGTTTGAATAATTTTGAAACTTTGAGATGTGTCCTGCACCTCTGCTGTGAGGCTGGCTGGAGTTCTGTGGGTGCTAAGTGTGTCTGGTGGAGGATTAAAGGACGTTGTGTGAGTAACACAATCATCTTGTAACTGATGCAGCTCATTGACTGTATGAGGTGAACCTCAGCAGATGCCTCTGTGGGATTAATTTGTAGAGGATTATGTTGTCTTGCTCATTATAGACGTGATGGAAACACCAGAGTCCCCTCCGTGAAACTGATGCAGCCTCCTCTGATACCCGCGCCACACAAAGCGTCAGCGTGGTGAAAAGCACTGCCCCTGGTTGAAGCAGAGCATCAGAGTGAAATATGGTTTACAGCTGAGGAACGCCAACCTCTCTCCTGTCTCCTGATCTCTGTCTCCTCTTCTGTGCTTAACATAATTTGCCTAAAACCCCTATAATCCTTCCAGATAATCTGTGAAATGGTTCTCGGCCCTCTGTCCTTCTCCCTTCACTGGCCCTTGTGTTTACCTTTCTCTCCCCGTGGAACCACACTGGAACAGCAGCATTAGCAGGTTCAGGTCGAGGCTGTCCACATCAACTGTCATTAAAAGAAGTAGTGTGCTACATTAATCTCCTCATCCATTTTCCCCTGAAACAAATGCTTTTACAGCTTTATTTTGTTCCATCTGTGTTTCCCTGGAGAGGCTGCATATATCCTGGCTGCTGCTGCTGTTCATTAGTGAAACGAGTCCAGTGCTGTGATTTTAATGCACAACAACTAGATGATACAAAAGGGGAAGGCCTCTGTTTAGACTTTGTTAAGGGTTCGTCTGTGAGTAAGTGGTGCATCATCCTCTGACATGGTTCACTGCCTCTTCTTGTCATTTCATTTACCTTTTGATTCACATATTGGCCTAATAATCAGAGCTGCTCACATTTTCCGCTTGACCTGGCCCTTTCGTCACCACTGACCTATCTGTGTGTGCCTCAGATCCCCCAGATCAGCTACGCCTCCACTGCCCCGGAGCTGAGCGACAACAGCCGCTATGAGTTCTTCTCCCGTGTGGTTCCCCCTGACTCCTACCAGGCCCAGGCCATGCTGGACATAGTCAAAGCCATGGGCTGGAACTACGTCTCCACGCTGGCCTCCGAAGGCAACTATGGAGAGAGCGGCGTGGACGCGTTCATCCAGATATCCAGAGAAGCAGGTTGACTGTGCAGGCTGTATGAATGTAATGTCTGCTGCAGCAACAATGGGAGGGACTACTCACCAGGCTGCACCGCTCTCGCTCATTAAAGGACAAAAATAGGCAAAAGCAATTCTGGAATACACGGAGAGTAACATCCTGTAGTTTCAAATGCACAAATGCTGTCAGTGTTCTGATTTAATGTAGATTTAATGTTATAAATAGAGGTAAAAAATAAGCCATGATTATTTTAAGGAATTTGTCATCCTGAGGCTTGAGCTACAGTTCGGTGAGCATTTTCAATTAGAGCCTACAGGGGCCCAGAAGGTTGAATGAAACACAATAAAGCTACAATAAAAACAACAATAAATTAAATCAAAAATGCATAAACTGAAGCTAATTTGAGCTCTTCTGTGATGTGGTGAAGGACCAGGGGTCTCATTTATCAAGCTTGCTTACGCACAAAACGGGGTCGGAAAACTGCGTAAGCAACTTTCCACGCAAACTTTGGGATTTATGAAAGAAAACTTAGTGGAAAATGTGCACAACTTTAAGTTGACGAAGGACCTGGCTTACACACACATGTAGGACATGGAGAGCACCTGCAGTGCTGCTGCTGAGAAGATACAGTTATTAGATCCTGCAGCATTTTCACTTGTACTGCTTCGTTTTCACACAGAACAAGACCCCCACATGCACACAAATGCACGCATACACACACGCACGCAAACACACGCACACACACACATGCACACACACACACACATGCACGCACGCACACACTCACAGCCTGAAGTGCAGAATACGGAATGCAGAATATCAGCAGGGGGGACACATTGAGACAGAACATCATGCGTCTGTGACAGTGTGTGACCCGATTGATCATGCGCCCTGGCTACTTGAACAGGGGAGATCTCTGTTTGGGTGACTTTCACCCGGGAGTCTGGAAATGGAATCCTGATTGGACCATTTTTTAATATCCGCCACAGATCTCTCTGAAGAATTCACAACAGTGACGGCTTCAGCACCGCTGTGCCACTCCGTGGATTTTCATTATTAGTTTTGCAAAAGCACTTCCTTTCATTTCTCCACCTCACTTCTCCACCTCACCCACAAGTACCTCAACTTCTGCTTCTGTGAAATTGCGCTTCCTTGATCTGCCTTGATCTACGGTCGCCATGTCTTTGGCGGAGCGCTGCAACAGCCGGCTTATGTACATGCATGAGATCCACAAGGCACTTTGCATTGACTATTTATGGCAGTGAGTGGGCGTGGTGAGGGCGGGATGTGACTAAAATGCAGCTGAGAAACATTCTCGTTAGTCTTTGATTTATGAAGCGGAGATTGCGTGCAGCTGTGCGTCCTCCATGTTTGATAGATCACAAACCTGCTTGGCGTCAGTACTTTTCTTTTGCTGAGCTTAAGTACGGCTTTAGTAAGGATTCTACGCCATGTTTGATAAATGAGACCCCTGGACCCAAACGCTGGTGTCGCTCATTTACTTACTTTTTTGCTGTAATTAAATTATTAGCACAAGTCCTGCTTAATCACAACTTCTGTTTTATCCTTTAATTATTTACTCATGTTTTTAGTTCTGTTGTAGGTGTTTGTATTTCTTCTGGGCCATTATATCACCTATCCACTTAACAAACATAAGAAAATACAGACATTGTTTTTGAACAAATAAAGTGCACAGAGTAAAAAAGAAATTTCCCAAATTCAACTGAAAGTTATTCAAATGAAAACAAGTCATTTAAGGCCAGGTTTGTCTGAAAAGCAACTGATCCAAGATAAACAAAGAGGCTTCAGAGTTAAATGTGTTATCACGTTTTCAAACGTTGAAAATGTGCCACAAAAGTTTCAGATGAAGGCTGCTGGACTTCTTTGGTTTCTTGAAGATGTTCTGCTTCTCATCCGAGGAGATCTGACAAAGTTCCTTGGATGAGAAGCAAAACATCTTCAAGAAACCGAAGAAGTCCAGCAACCTTCATCTGAAGCCTTCTGGATTACCACGATCTGGATGACTGAGAAGATTTACCAGCAAAATGTGCCAAAGGCTTTTTTACAACCTGGAATTATTCCACAGTCTTTAGCTCTAGCCGCTAAATTCACTTTTCCTGCAGGTCTATCAATAGCCTCAATGTTTCCATAAAATATAAAAGCTGATTATCATCTGCAGGAGGCCTAGCTTTAACATGTCAGAGAGAAGTCTTATCTGGCATAATTTAAATATAATGAAGGGTGCGTGTGTGTGCGCGTGTGTGTGTGTGCGTGCAGGCGTGTTAAGTTATGTTAGATTGCTGCCGTCAGAACAATAAAGGATCTTATTTAGCCACATAGAAATACAGCTGTGTCTGGTAAAATGCACGCTCATACTGTAATCTCATCTTATCGCAACAACTGGATTTTGATGAGTAAAGTGAATCAAAAGCTTTAGAATTGTTTTGTCACTAAACATGGTCCTGACAGTCAACTAGAGGGACATTTATTTATAAATCTATATTTTCAGAGGATGAAACCGTCTTGTGTTCGAATGGGTCCTCTTACCTTACAACAAATAAAGTCAAGATAACATAGTCAATAAGCTAAAAGACAAATCTGAAACATGGATCACAAACGGAAATCACCACGGCAGCCATTAAAGCTGATTTAATCTCTAATCATCAACAGTCATAACTGCATTGGTGTTCTGTTCTGAAACCATCTTTTGGTTTACTGGAACACGAGTAAACAATCGGACAAGTCTAATGAGTCAAAAACGTCCAAAGTTAGGTTAACATCTGTGCTGGAGAGTAGAACATTAAAAGAGCTGTTATTAAATAACTCGTTTGTTCCCAGCAGCCTTTCCTGTATTTACTACACACAAGTGGTGGATGCCTAATTAGCATTTAAAACATTGTGCTTACTGTACAGTGGCGTGTTAGCGCAAGTCTCAAAGCTCCTGCATGGTTCCACACTCTCAGTCCTGGGTTTTAATTAAGACATTACATGATGAGAGAAGTTATGGGCAGTTTGTAAACAAACAGCCGACCATGTGACTAAAGCTTCATAATGAGACAGGCGGGAGGTCAAGGTTGTGCCTCGCTGTAACACTTTGGCTCAATAATCAGACAGAGACACAAGCGTGACCCCTCTTAAATGTAGGTTTTATTTAACTTTATTTAAAAAAAAAAAGATTAACAGGAACTCAATCCACCCAAATTGCCCAAAATGC